TTCCTTTTTGCGCTTTTTTCTCTAATCTTGGTTTCTTGTTTTATTTCATTGAGTTGGTCTTTGACTTCAGATATTCTTTCTTCTGCTTGGTCAATTCAGCTATTGAAACTTGTGTTTGCTTCGCGAAGTTCTCGTATTGTGTTTTACAGCTCCTTTAATTCATTCATATTCCTCCTTAAGTTATCCATTCTTGTTATCATTTCCTCGAATCTTTTTTCATACCTTTTTTCAAGGTTCTTGTTTCTTTGCATTGATTTAGTACATGATCTTTTAGCACACAAAAGATTCTCATTATCCATTTTCTGAAGTCTAATTCCGTCATTTCGTCACAGTCATTCTCTGTCCAGCTTTTTTACCTCGCTGGTGAGGAGTTTTGGTCCTTTCTAGGAGGCGAGGTGTTCTGGTTTCGGGTGTTTTCCTCTTTTTGTGCTGGTTTCTTCCCATCTTTGTGGATTTGTCCGCTGGTCGTCTGCATAGTTGCTGACTTTTCGATTGGGTCTCTGAGTGGACACCCAGAATGTTGATGATGAAGTATTTCTGTTGCTTGGTTTTCCTTCTACCAGTCTAGCCCCTTCACTGTACGAGTGCTGAGGTCTGCTCCAGACCCTGCTTGTCTGGGGTGCACCTCTAGCAGCTGTGGCACAGCGAGGGATGCTACCAGTTTCTTTTTCTGCTATCTTTGTCCCAGGATGATGCCTGCCTATTGTCAGTCTTTTGGATGTAGAGGGGTCAGGGAGCTGCTTGAGGAGACAGTTTGTGCTTTATAGGAGCTTAATTGCTGAGCTGTGAGCTCTGTTGTTCATTCAGGGCTGTTAGGCTGCTATGTTTGATTCTGCTGCAACAGAGCTCATTAAAAAAACCCTTTTTTTTTTTCTCAAATGCTCTGTGTTGAGGGGTTTGGGCTTTATTTTTGGATGTCCATTGAGGTCCTGCCCAGCTAGGACGCAGACTAGCCACTGTTTCCCTGCCGAGGCTCCGCCCTCCTGTTGTGAGGCTCGACCTGGCTCTGCGGTTCTGCTGTGTTCTCCGCCATGCCCTGCGGCGGAGTCTCTCTGTTGTCGTGGGTTGCCTCGACAACGGCAGGCTGTGCCAGCAATGGGCGTGTATCTCAGTTGGGACGGGTTGCCTCGGTAATGGTGGATGCCCCTCCCCCTCAGAGCATCTCGGGCAGTCTGCACGGGGCTTGTTTGTTCGTCCCACTGGGCCACCCCTAACACTCTGTCCCTGCAATCCCCTGGGCTGGCCCACTGTCCAAGTCTAGCTCAGTCTCAAGTCTAGCCCTCTCACATCTCTGGTTGCCAGTTCAATGGGGCACCCGGACAAGCACGCCCTGTGGGGAGCGCTGGGTAAGGCCAGCCGCCACCACCCTGGCTGCCAGCTTCGCCAGGCGGAGGTTCTGCCTGGCGTCCCGCGTCTCCACTTCACTTGGGAATTTCCCCGTTCCATGGGCAACAAAGATCAGTCTGGAAATGCAGCTCAGACTCACCTCTCCACGGACACAACGAGAGCTCCAATCCTGGGTTGTTCTCACAGCGCCATCTTGAGTCCTCCCCCCGGAATTTCTATTTCTAAATCCTTGAGAAATCACCACACTGTCTTCCACAATGGTTGAACTAATTTACACTCCCACCAACTGTGTAAGAGTTCCTATTTCTCTGTATCCTCTCCAGCATCTGTTGTCTCCAGATTTTTTAATGATTGCCATTCTAACTGGCATAAGATGATATCTCAATGTGGTTTTGATTTGCATTTCTCTAATGACCAGTGATGAGGATTTTTTCATATGTTTGTTGGTCTCTATATGTCTTCTTTTGAAAAGTGTCTGTTCATATTCTTTGCCCACTTTTGAATGGGGTTGTTTTTTTCTTGTATATCTGTTTCAGTTCTTTGCAGATTCTGGATATTAGCCCTTTATCAAATGGGTAGATTGCAAAAATCTTTTCCCATTCTGTTGGTTGCCTATTCACTCTAATGATGGTTTCTTTTGCTGTACAGAAGCTCTGGAGTTTAATTAGATCCCATTTGTCTATCTTGGCTTTTATTGCCATTGCTTTTGATGTTTTAGTCATGAAGTCCTTGCCTATGCCTATGTTCTGGATGGTTTTGCTTACATTTTCTTCTAGTGTTTTTACGGTGTTATGTTTATGTTTAAATCTTTGATCCATCTGGAGTTAATTTTAGTGCAAGGTGACAGGTAGGTGTCCAGTTTCTGTTTTCTGTACTTGGCTAGCCAGTTTTCCCAACACCATTTATTAAACATGGAGTCCTTTCCCCATTGCTTGTTTTTGCCGGGTTTGTCAAAGATCAGATGGTTGCAGATGTGTGGTGTTTCTTCTGGGATCTCTGTTCTGTTCCATTGGTCTATGTCTCTGTTTTGGTACCAGTACCATGTTGTTTTGATTACTGCAGCCTTGTACCATTTTGAAGTCTGGCAGTGTGACGCCTCCGGCTTTGTTCTTTTTGCTTAGGATTGTTCTGGCTATGAGGGGTCTTCTGTAATTCCATATGAAGTTTAAAGTGTTTTTTCCAGTTCTATGAAGAAGGTCATTGGTAGCTTGATGGGGATAGTGTTGAATCTATAGATTACTCTGGGCAGTATGATCATTTTCATGATATTCATTCTTCCTAACCATGAGCAGGGAATGTTTCTCCATCTGTTTGTGTCCTCTCTTATTTCATTGAGCAGTGGTTTGTAGTTATCCTTGAAGAGGTCATTTACATCCTTTCCAGGAAAGAAAGCACCAGGAAACTTTCCAGGAAAGAAACGTTCCATGAAAGAAACTTTCCAGGAAAGAAACATGGATTCTAGAGGATGTGGTGCTTGAAGTATAGATCAATATTTGGGATGAAAACAGCATTAAATCTGATGCTATCAGTCCTCATTTTATACATATGAGAAAAATCAATCTCAGCAAAGTTAAATGATCTGCCTAAGGTAACAGGTAAGAAGTGATGGTGCTGGAATCCACACCTGAGCCTCCCCGACTCTAAATCCTGCATGGTTCTCCAGCTCCTTTGTTCTTCTTGCCTGCCTCATTCCCCTCTATCTTCTCATAGCCCAGATGGCAGAGAGGAGAGGCTGTGAGACAGGAAGGAGATGGCCATGGCAGGGCTCCCAGGGTCACACAGTGCACTTTGTTATCTAGCAAATAAAGCAGAGGTAATATATTTGCATATTTAAAAAATAATGAACGTTCCAATGATCAATGATTTTGACTCTAAGGTGACACGCTTAGCTCTTATGCTTAGAATTACCCCTTGGGATACTAACAGATGCCACGTACAAAAATCCTTAAGTCAGCACTTAAGGATTATTGTAGGTTAATCATGAGTAATTTAGATGATGATAATTTCCTAAACTCCACTTGTTTTAAAGGAATCTATTTCCATGTTAATAAGTACTTTCCAAGAAGATATAATAATTGCGAGGATTAAAGATCCTTGGTGCAGACTGGGTGGGGGAGATTCGGGCAGCAAGAAGGGCTCCTTCAAAGCACTGTCCCTTGATCCCCAACACCACTCTTGCTAGGTGGCTCATCTCTTCCCTTGCACAATACACACGTTAGCCACTAGGTGGCGGATTTGTAAAGCCAAAGACCCAACTGCAGACAAACGGAAGCACAAAATCTCCCTGGTTTCTGGTGGCTTTAAAGTTAGCAGGCAAAAGAGAGTTTTCCCTTTGAAAGCATTTTCCCGTATTACAGCTAGTAATTCATACTTCAATAAAAGTCTGGCATTTTCACCGTGCGCTTTTCCGCCTGTCCACCCATCCACCCATCCATCCACCTGCCCATCCATCCACCCATCCATCCACCTGCCCATCCATCCACCCACCCACCCACCTATCCATCCATCCATCTATTCATCTATCCATCCACCCGTCCACCCATCCATCCATCCTCCCTTCCATCCATCCACCCTTCCATCTGTCCATCAGTCCACCCATCCATCCATTCATCCATCCATCCATCCACCCAACCATCCATTCATCCATCCATCCACCCACCCATCCATCCATCCACCCATCCATCCGTCCACCTATCCACCCATCCATCCACCTGCCCATCCATCTACCCACCCACCCACTCATCCATCCATTCATCCATCCATCCATCCACCCATCCATCCGTCCTCCCTTCCATCCATCCACCCTTCCATCTGTCCATCCGTCCACCCGTCCATCCATCCATCATCTATCCATCCACCAACCCACCCATCCATCCACCCATCCATCCATCCACCCACCCACCCATCCATCTATCCAGCCACCCATCCACTCATCCACCCATCTATCCATCCATTAATCCATCCATCCATCCATCCATTCATCCACCCACCCATCCACCCATCTACCCATCTATCCATTCATCCATCCATCCATCCATTTTTTCCATCCATTTATCCACCAAATATTTGCTCATCCACTAGGTACTGAGCACTGTGAAAGGCATGAGGGATACAGCAGTGAACTGACAGACCCAAACTTCTCTTTCATGAAAGAGCTTACATCCTAATAGGGGGAGAAGGACATTAAACTGTAATCAGACGCCTAAACAGATAATTGAAACCTGGGATACCTGTTGTGAAAGAAGACATCAAGGCCTTTGATGTCACATTCAAGAAGATGTTTCTGGTGAATCTATTAACTAGGTGAGGTAAGATGGGGAGTGGGAGGGGTCTAAACTGAGGATATACAAAGGCCCCAAAGATGAAAGGAGCCTGACGAGCTCAAAGTGGGCCTGCAGGAGGGAAGAGAGCAATGGGAGAGGAGGTTAGGAATCCAGGCAGAGAATGGAGTGGACTTTGATTTTACGTGCAGTGGAAAACCTGGGGGTCTCCATCATCTGAACCAGCCCCTGCTGCAGCCTCATCCCCTGCGTGAATCCCACACTGCAGCCTCGTTGAACTTTCTGTGAGGTTGTCCGTGGCTCAGGCCTTTGCAGCCAGCTCCAGGGGGCGCCACCGCCGGCGCCGCGAGACTGCCGTTGTCGCGAGACCCCCGCCGCCATTAGTCCGCCGACGCTGTCACCAGAACCCCGCCGCCGCCGCCACAACCGCCATGGGCAACGTGCCCGCCAAGGACACCGAGCAGAAGGTCGTGAAAGAGTTCATAGCCGGAGCCAAAGAAGATTTCCTCCGTAGATGGGAACGCCCGGTTCAGAACACCGCCCGCTTGGATCAGTTTAAACTGCTCAAGACGCTGGGCATCGGCTCCTTCGGGCGGGTGGTCCTGGTGAGTCACCGGGAGAGCGGCAGCCACTATGCCATGAAGATCCTCAACAAGGAGAAGGTGGTGAGACTGAAACAGGTCCAGCACGTCCTGAACGAGAAGCGCATCCTGCAGGCGATCGACTTTCCGTTCCTCGTCAAGCTCCATTTCTCCTTCAGGGACAACTCCAACCTGTACCTGGTGATGGAGTACGTGCCGGGTGGGGACGTGTTCTCCCACCTACAGCGCGTCGGAAGGTTCACAGAGCCCCATGCCGGTTTCTATGCCGCCCAGATCGTCCTGGCCTTCCAGTACTTGCACTCGCTCGACCTCATCCACCGCGACCTGAAGCCCGAGAACATCGTCATCGACCAGCAGGGCTACCTGCGGGTGACCGACTTCGGTTTCGCCAAGCGCGTGAGGGGCCGCACTTGGACCCTGTGCGGGACCCCAGAGTACCTGGCCCCCGAGATCATCCTGAACAAAGGCTACAGCAAGGCCGTGGACTGGTGGACCCTGGGGGTGCTCATCTATGAGATGGCCGTGGGCTTCCCGCCCTTCTACGCCGACCAGCGGAATTCCGTCTTCCAAAACATCCTCTCCGGGAAGGTGCGGTTCCCCTCCCATGTCAGCTCTGACCTCAAGAACCTGCTGCGGAACCTGCTGCAGGTGGACCTCTCCAAGCGCTTCGGGAACCTCCGGAACGGGGTCGGCGACATCAAGAACCACAAGTGGTTCGCCACAACCAATTGGATCGCCATCTATGAGAAACAGGTGGAAGCTCCCTTCATCCCGAAGTTCGCAGGCCCTGGGGATGCCAGTAACTTTGACAACTACGAGGAGGAAGAGATCCGGATCTCCATCAACGAGAAGTATGCCAACGAGTTTTCTCAGTTTTAGGGGTGTGCTTGTGCCCCTGTGGGTTTTCTTTTCTTTCTTATTTTTTTCTCTTGGGTGGGTGGGTGGGTGGCAGGGTTGGACTGAACAGCCAGAGGGCACCAAAGTTCCTTACATCTAGTTTCACCCCCCACCCCACCCTCTAGGGTTGCGGTAGCAGGAAGCCCAGATATTTAGAGGGACAGAAACACCAGCTGCTCCCTCACCCCCTATGCCTTCCTGGGCCCTCTGTGCTTCTCCCTTCCTCCTCCCGCAGAGTGCCCCTTGCCCCAGCCCACTTCTACCTGTTTTAGTTTCTCAGCTCTATTCAGGCCAGGTCTTGCTGGTGTATCCAGGAACAGGGTGTGGAAAGAGGGATTCACGCTTAGGGAAGGAGAGAGGTTTAGTGCCATGTTCAGTGCGCTGCTTGCTAAAATTAAAAATAAAAAAAAAATAAAAACAATTAAAAACAGTAAAGTAAAACAAAAAATAATATTGGTATGTAGTTTTCTTACGTTTTATTGGTTGTTCTGCCCTTTTCTGGTTTGTGTATCAGGATAATGAGGGCCTCTTAAATGAGTCTAGAAGTATTCCCTTCTCACTAATTTTCATAAGTGGTTTGAGGAGAATTGGCATGGATCCTTCCTTAAATGTAGTAGAATTCAGTACTAAAGCCATCAGGCACTAACCTTGCCACCAATAGAAGACATTTTATTACTGATTCATATCCTTACTTGTTATTGGTCTATTCAGGTTTTCTACTTCTTCTTTATCCATTTAGAAGAATTATACAAGTTCAGGAATGTTTCCATTTTTCCTAGGTCACCCAGTTTCTTGGCATATAATGAGTCATATCATCCATAAAGACAGATAATTTGACTTCTTTTTTTTTTTCCTATTTATTTCTTTCTCTTTCCTGAATATTCTGGCTGAAACTCTCAGTACCATGCTGAATAGCAGTGATTGTATTTAATTCTTTACCTCCCGTACTATGATGCCTGACATGTTACAGGTGCCCAATAAATATTTTTGAATAAAAAACCATATGTTTTGGGATTGCAGTTTTGACCATAATTGTATGTGGTGCATATTGTCTCATGATGCAGAAACTTCCCTGCCTTTCTAAAATATCCTGTATTCAGAGGGTATTTTAGTCAATCCAGGTTACTATAATATAAATACTAGAGACTGGGTGAATTACACAACATGCATTTATTTCTTGCAGTTCTAGAGGCTGAGAAGTCAAAAATCAAGATGACATGTGATTTGGTTTTTGGTGAGGGCATTCTTTCTGGTTTGCAGATGGAGAGATCTTTGCTTTATCCTCATGTGGTGAAGAGAGAGATTATCTCTCTCTTGTCTTTTTAAAGTAAGGGCACTAATTCCGTGCATGAGGGCTTCATCCTCCTGATGTAATCACCTCCCAAAGGCCTAACCTCAAAATACTATCCACTGGGGATTAGCACTTCAGCACGGAAATTTGAGAAGGACACGACATTCAGTTTGCAGCCAAGGGATCACAGATGGAGTCAGAGATAAAAAAGATGAATGTCCCCAGTCCCATTCATCCACCCATCCATCCATCCATCCATCCATTCATCCATTCATCCATCCATCCATCCACCCACCCACCCATCCATCTATTCATCCACCCATCCACCCATCTATTCATCCATTAATCCATTCATCCATCCATCTATCCACCCATCCATCCACTCACCCACCCATCCACCCATCTACCCATCCAACCATCCATCTATCCATCCACTTATCCACCAAATATTTGCACATCCACTAGGTACTGAGCACTGTGCAAGGCATGAGGGACACAGCAGTGAACTGACAGATCCAAACTTCTCTTTCATGAAAGAGCTTACATCCTAATAGGGGGAGAAGGACATTAAACTGTAATCAGACACCTAAACAGATAATTGAAACCTGGGATACCCATTGTGAAAGAAGACATCAAGGCCTTTGATGTCACATTCAAGAAGATGTTTCTGGTGAATCTATTAACTAGGTGAGGTAAGATGGGGAGTGGGAGGGGTCTAAACTGAGGATATACAAAGGCCCCAAAGATGAAAGGAGCCTGACGAGCTCAAAGTGGGCCTGCAGGAGGGGAGTGAGCAGTGAGAGAGGAGGTTAGGAACCCAGGCAGGGAATGGAGTGGAGTTTGATTTTATGTGCAGTGGAAAACCTGGGGGTCTCCATCATCTGAACCAGCCCCTGCTGCAGCCTCATCCCCTGCATGAATCCCACACTGCAGCCGCGATGAACTTTCTGTGAGGTCCTCTGTGGCTCAGGCCTTTGCAGGTTACATGCTAGTTTCCTTCCTTGCATCTTCTTTACTCCTTGTTTCTGATACATAGGCTTTAACTTAACCTCCAACTCATAGATCCAATGCAAAGCCACTCTTCAACCTGGTGGTGGGGAGATCAGACTCACTAAAACACCACACTGGCCAAGGATTGGCTCAACTAGTGAGTCCTCACTTGGGACAGCAGTGAGCTGGGGATAGGGAAGGGAGGGGATAGAGCTGGTGTTAAGGTTGAATTCTGAGTCAGGAGAGGAGATTACTAAGCACCGACTTGGAATGTGCCCTAGGAATTGTTTGTTTTCTATATATCAACAGGAGTTGGGCACGTGTCTGGGGTATTTATTTAATGAATAAACCAAAGACAAATGACTAAATGAACAGGAATGAATGCAACACATGAAATTAGAAGCACATCAAACAGCACTCTTCAAATGTAGAGCATACTTCCTTGACCACTTCAAGATAACCTTTGGAGGTATCTTTCCCAGACAAGTCTTTATGCAGGTGGCAGAGTGTAGGTTTTCGCTGGCTTTGGAGCCAGAATGCATCACAATGTAGCCTCTGATGTGCTGTGGGTGACAGCCTCTCTCTCTCTCCCAGCCTTGCTTTTCTTGTTCATAAGTTAAGGGTAGTTACAAGTTCCAATGCACAAGGCCATTGTGAGGCTAAAATGGCATAGTAGATGAGAAAGAGTTTGGGAAATCTCTTCAAATTCAAATTGAGAGATTTGAATCTCTCACCACAAAAAAGTATGTGAGATAATGCATATGTTAAATGGACTGATTCAGTCATTGTATGCAGCCATCAAATCCTGTTGTACACAGTAAATATATAAATTAGCATTTGTCAATTAAAAACAAGTCCAAAAAGCTACCAAGGATTCAGGAAAATGAGAGAAAACCTTCAAACCAGACCCATGTTACACATTCATTAGCAGCTCTGAATCTACAGATTACATAATAGAAATATTGCAACTTCTGGACTGCCTGATTTGAGACATAGAAATTGTCAGAGGGGAGTCGATTCAAGATGGCCGACCACTAACAGCTCAGGATTGTAGCTCCCAGTGAAAGCTCAGAGAACGAGACGACGCCACATCTTTAGACGAATTTTCGTCACTCACCGATTAGCCGATTCCCAGTGGAGGAGCCCCACGGGTTGCCAGCGTGACTCTTGTGGCCGCCGCAGAGGTTTTGCCAGCATCTCGGCGCAGCAGCTCTTCACGCAGAGCCAACGGGACTGCTTCCCCTACTGACCAGAGTTTGGAGCTCCGGGAAGTCAGAGCCGCTTGTTGCGGACTCAAGAGGGAAGCCAGACCAGAGATTCCCGGGCAGAAGAGCACCATTAGTCTTACCGCTGCTATTTAGGCTGCCACAGTGGGTGGCTCGGATCCCAGCACTGGGAATCAGTAAGTCAGACGTCGACTCAGAAAACTAATTAGAAAGGCGGTTCATCTATAATGAAGGGAAAAAAACAGCCTAAGAAGGCCGAGTATACTCAAAATCAGAACCCATCAGCAACGGAACAAGCCCTGATGGAAAAGGACTCATCAGCAACCGAACAAGCCCTGATGGAAAAGGACTCATCAGTAACAGAACAAGCCCTGATGGAAAAGGACTGTGTTCCATTATCTGAAGTAGGCTTTAAAAGGTGGATGATAAGAAACTTCTGGGAGTTAAAGGAACTTGTTCTAACCCAATGTAAAGAAACTAAGAACTTGGAAAAAAGGTTCGATGAAATGTTGAAAAGAATAGACAATATAGAGAGGAATACAAATGAACTTATGGAGTTGAAAAATACAACACGAGAACTGAGTGAAATATGTACAAGCTTAAACAGCCGAATGGATCAAGCAGAAGAAAGGGTATTAGAGGTCGAAGACCAACTTAATGAAACAAAACGACAAGACAAGAATAGAGAAAAAAGGATAAAAAGGAATGAGCAAAGTCTCCAAGCAATATGGGACTATGTGAAAAGACCTAATATACGCTTGATTGGTGTACCTGAATGTGACGGAGAGAATGAAGTCAAGCTGGAAAATACTCTCCAGGACATTATCCAGGAAAATTTTCCTAATTTAGCAAAGCAGGACACTATTCAACCCCAGGCAATACAGAGAACACCACAAAGATATTCCTCAAGAAGACCAACCCCAAGGCACATAATCGTTAGATTCACCAAGATCGAAACGAAGGAGAAAATATTAAGGGCAGCCAGAGAGAAAGATCAAGTTACCCATAAAGGTAAGCCTATTAGGCTTACAGCAGATCTCTCAATGGAAACCCTACAAGCTAGAAGAGAGTGGGGGCCAATATTCAATATACTTAAAGAACAAAACTTTCAGCCCAGAAATTCATATCCTGCCAATTTAAGCTTTACATTTGAAGGAAAAATAAAATCTTTTAGGAACAAGCAAGTATTCAGAGATTTTATTACCACCAGGCCTGCTTTACAAGAACTTCTAAAAGAAGCATTATACACAGAAAGGAACAACCAGTATGATCCTTTCTAAAAATACACCAAAAAGTAAAGAGCATTAACATAAAGAAGAATTTTTATCAACAAAAGGACAAAATAGCCAGTTAATATCAAATGGCAGTAACCCTAAAGTTAAATCAACCAAATCTCCCAATCAAAAGATACAGACAAAATCCAACGGTATATCCAAAGATATACATAGACTCAAAATAAAGGGTTGGAAAAAAAAAAAAAAACGTACCAACCAAATGGAGAGCAAAAATAAATAAATAAAAAGCACGAGTTGCAATTTTCACATTTGACAAAATAGATTTCAAAGCTATAAGGATACAAGGGTAAAAGGATTAATGTAACAATAAGAGATCTTAACACCCAGATACATAAGACACATAGTGAGATTTAGATTCAACGAGACAACAAATTGATAACGATATCCAGGATTTGAACTCAGAGCCAGAACAAATAAACACAATAGAGGTCTCCATTTTAAACACATAAAATATGCATTAACCACTTTAAACACTCAAAATATTGATCGGCCATTATTGAAACCCATTTTAGGAATGAAGTAATATTCCTTTTTCCCTCTTTTTCTTTTTTTCCCCTTCTTTTTCTCTTTTTCCCTAAAAAAAAAAAAAAAAAAAAAAAAAAAAAAAAAAGAAATTGTCAGAGGGAAGTTAGTCATCTCTCCAGCGCACAAATGGTGTCAACCTTGAAGTACATCAAAGGAGAAAGAAATTGTGACGGGGCGTTTATGTTTTAGCCTCCTCCTAAAAATGCTTCCCAGCCCTCACCTAACTGGTGAACAAGTGAATGTATCACAGCCAGAGCTGTCATTTGCCAAGCACATCTTAATTTGGAGAGATGAGCACACAGTGAACTTTTTGGCAGCTCCAAAAAGTTTAAGCGGTGGTTTTCTCCAGAGCTTTCATTTGTGTGTGGGTACCCCGGGTAGTTGTGTGAATTTCTGATGCTTTTATGATACAGAGGCAGAGATGCCTTGATGGAAACGCTGTTGCTAATGCCCTTTCCACCCCAGCTGTGCCCTTTTAGGAAGCTGCAACCCCCAGTGGATCTTCATCCCCAAAGAACCGATTGCCCTTGAAAACCCTCTTGTCGGCTCCACAATCCACAAAGTCCCAACCAATCAGTAATGGGTCCCTTTGTTAGACAATCTTCTATTTAAAGCAACTATTATGCATCTATTATGTGCCACGCCCTGTACTAAGCCCAGAAAGTACATTAATTTTACTCACTCCTCAAACAACACCGTGGATTAAGTACAATTGTTATCTCAGAGATAGCAGGGCTACGAATTTATTTGTTAACAGCTGGTCCGTAGTGAGTCTACGATGCAAACCCAACCCCCTGATCGCCAAGCCAGAACTCTTGATTGCAAGACTGGGTTGCTCTGAACATATATCTTGAAAATGTTTTGTTTTGATAGATTGGGAACATTGTCTTAGAAGTGCCATTAGCACTAATCGATTAAAACTGATTACAAGTTATAAAGACATCAGGGACACTGCATTTGTGTTCTTTGGAAAATGATACATTGCTAAAAGATGTCCTACTGTCCTCCTTCCCTCCCTTTCCCTTTTTCCTTCCGTCCCTCCCTCCCTTTCTGCCTCCTTCCTTCTTTCCGTATCTTTGTTTCTTTCTTCTTTCATTCTCCTCCTAGTTCTTTCTCATTCTCATTGATGAAACGACTACGCATAAACAATGGAAAGTGATGGTTCATTTCACTGAGCAGAGGTGGGTTGATGCCCCTCAGGAAGGTATGCAAAACAGGCCTGGCTCACCCCACTGCAAACCTCCTGTGATGAGGGTTCTGTGTTTGCCCTGCACCAAACAGCCTTGGCAGCTTGGGCTCCCTGACCCAGAAATGAGTGATTAAATTAAGAGTGTCTTCATTTGTTAACATTAAAAGGCTGCCTTGCATTCATCTGGAAGCCTGTGATTAGCAGCTGCACATCCATACACTACAGCCTCCATAAGCAATAATTAGAGAGAGAATAACTGGCCAGGTTATTCATGTTCCACCTGGTCCTGACATCTCCAAAGTTTGTGTTTGTAGCCCAGTTGCTTTGTTTTAGAGCAAGAACCTGAGAGGGCTGGGGTCCAGCTGGCTCCCAGGCTATCTCATTTTTCTGTGCCCTTGAGTGATTTTCAAGTTGAAATGGAAAAGGAAGAAGGCCTTACACAAAGCAATGAGCAGCCGGCATGGCTGAGGCCATTACACAGTCAGTGACCCTGTTATTTGGAATTTTCACTTAAAAAAAAACCTAACAGTTTCCCATCTCTGCTACCTTTTTCCCTGCAGAACTGAAGGCTGATCTGTTTGGTGGCAAGTGGAGATCAGCTGGTAGATGGGAAGAAAATTATTGTTTATTAATATAGCTGTCAAAATATTGCTAAAAATAGTGTAATTACTTCTCCTCAGTGTTGTTTCAGCACTTTTGGTAGTGAGCTTTTGGTAATTAACACCTGAGACGGGATGAAATGGCATTCCTGCACCATATGTGTCTCTGGGCTTAAGCCGAGGGAGCTGCTTCTGAATGTGGCTGGCTTCCATTTGCTGATGAAGCACTCAATGTATTCATAGGAAGGAAAATCTCCTAAATTCACCCCCACTGTGAAACTGTGTCATCACACAGTTTGTCCCTACCAGCTACGTGCAGAGCACTGGGCTATCC